GAGCCTAATATTTATACGAAACATGTAATTGGCATCCAAACCCTTTTAATAGAGTTGTTGATGAAATATGATACCAAAAATCGAGTTCAAAACAAATTCTAATTCTCAATGGGCTTCCAAAATAGAATTTCAACTTGATATAGGATTTCAATAGTATTCCAAATTTGAATTCTTCATGACGTGCACTTCAATTAGAATATTTCAATTACTTCAATAAAAAATTCGTGTCACACCCAAATTCTAACATTTATCTTTGCATTATTTTCAGCTAAAGTGAACTGGCGTTGAATTACGAGGATGTAATAAATCATAAGCATTGGCCATATTTTTTTTTATGTTGGTTTTAGCCTCTAGTTTGTAAGGAACGTTTATGAGAAGAGAACTAGAGAAAAATAGAAAGAAATTGTCAATAGATATAGATCTTTGATACCTATGCTTATCAAACATATCATACATATCGAACAAGACTTCAATTCATAGCCAAGAAATATAAAGGTACACCAAACATAATTTACCCCAAATTTAGAATCGACTTCATAGACATGGAGTTTGACAGCTACAACATAAGCCCTTTATTCGATTACATAGATGTGACAAATTCACGTAAATCTCTCCTTTCCCGCTTTCCTTTGTAGATCATTTTCCCTTGTGGAACGTTGTATTGGCAGATATGTCAACGTCTTCTTGTTCCATTTTTTGTTGGGTATTCCTAAAAGTTGTGTCCAAGCTTCCTACATCTGTGACAAATGCCTTTGTTCTTCCATGTCATTCTGGGAGCGAAGTTTACTTGGTCACGGCAGACAAGTTTTGTAATAAATAGATAGAAATCTCCGAGGTGAATTCACAATATGAAGAAGAACTTATGAAGTGTTTGCTGAAAAGCATAAATAATAGGGCTGGACAAAACTCCTGAATCGAACCGAACCGAATCGAATCGAGCGATTCTTCATAAGTTAAATACCTGAACGAGTATCTGAATTGAAAACCGACGGGTTCGGTTTGGTTCTCGGTTTAGACCCAAAACCCAAGAACCGAATTAAAATAATTTTTTTAATTTTTTATATTGAATTAATTAATTTTTTCTAAACAAATTAGCAAATTACTAATTTAGTGATTAATGTTCTAACTCCCAAACCAAGTCCATGCCTAGCTAACACAACCCAACCCAACCCAATTTCTAAATTCAATTTTTTGATTTAATTTTTTGATCCTATTATTAATTTCATTCCTAGCCTAAGATCTAAGTCTTTTTAAGTTTTTATCATTCTCTTTCCAATTTCACACTTTCATTCGGTAACCACTGAGTCACCGACCCCAAATCATTTGATAAATTGAAAACCTATATCTACATGCCCAAATCGAAATAGCTGATTGTCGAGTCCAACTTCCACTCTCCAATGCCTATCGAAGCCACGACCTCCAACCACAACCATCGGTCGTTGACCATTAGAAATCTGTTAAAAAAATTTAATTAGGTACGAAACCGAACAGAACCGAACCGAACCCAAACGATTCCATAATTATATTTGAATTCTACGATTATATTTATTAAATACTCGAAAATTTATCATGTCCAGCCCTAAAAAAATAAACCAGTCAAATTGCATTTTACTTGCATTTCTGCCAATATAAATTTACGCCTGCCATTGTGGAAAACAATCATGAATTAAGAATTTCTATCTCTGGTCTTCACGCAGTCATTGAAAAGGTAAAGCCTTGCATTATTGTCCTTAAACATGTAACAGAGCAACACCTTCATTTATTTATCCTTGCGATAGCTAAACGTGTGTTGCACGTTATTTTGAAATACTTTATAAACACTGTAAAAATGACATTTGAAAATTGAAACTTAGTGAATATAAAAATTTGTTAAAAAAATTGTTTATATGAAATGAAATTTTTATACAATTCAATTATTTATTTTTGTGTAAGATAGTAATTAAAATTAATTTTTATATATACAATACTATAATTCAATCAATTAATTCTTCAAATTTATGCATGTACACTTTATATATTTTGGGGGCTATTCAATTACTCTAAAAATATTGAAATACTACAATTCAATTATTTATGTATGTATATGTATACTAATTAACATTTATTTATTGATATA